TTCTCGAAAGACAGTTCATAAGCCCTAATCTCAAAAACCATGCCCTTTACTTCGCTTTGGGGTTCCAAGATAACTGAGTGGAAAACACATAATGTAGAATTAAAGGGTCCTCATTTACATTTGGAATGTCTAAGCACCTCCCAAAACATGAATTCCGGAACATAGTATCTCGTGTTGGTCTGTCTTTGATTGTCACAAAAATATATGTACGAAATTTTGGTTTACAAGAAAGTGTAATGGATGCATCAGAAACCCTATCGTGCTGCAAATATAATACTTGTTTTAAAACAAATCCACAACGAATAGTAACCACCATTCTTGACATGTTCTTTGTGTTCCGTGCGAGTTCTTCGTGTTCTAAACTAGTTTAGCGCACTCCGAAAAGCAATTTATTGTTCCAGGGCAATATTTCAATGTATAATAACATTTTATAAACAACTAAACTATTTTTTTAGTTGGTCCTAATGCACAATCCTCAACTATTGGTGCTCCGAAATGTGGGCAGTTCATTCTGGAGGTGTTCTTTGGATTCCGAATGCAATTTTTTTTATTTCAGGACACTAATTTTCAATGAATAATCACATTATATAACAACTAAACTAGATTTAGGCTTAGTCCTAATGCCATGGCATCTTTTCTTGAAACTCTAGAACATAGTCAGTTCAAATTGGAGGATGTGAATATAAAAAAAATCTTAGAAAATACTTGTAAAACAATAAGGTCATCACGATCGTATTCCATATCTTAAGTTGGAGTTTGGAATGCGTGAATACAGAGTGTATCAAAGATCGGAATCGGGAAGCTGGAGTATTGTGTCATAGATCGAATCAGAAAGTCGAAGTGTATCACCCGGTTTGTAGATCAAATTGATTTAAAGCTTTGCGGAGTCAAAGGCACAATTTCTTGGTAAAACAATGGCTCACAATGTGACCATAGAGAGGTCACGACGTGATTAGTGACAAAGTAATAATTTTTTTAAACTGAGCCAATGACATGATCAATAGGAGCTCCCGACATGAGTAGGGTTGAAGCCCAAGACCATGAGCTTTTAGGGTATCCTTTGTATTTAAAACCCATAAACTTCATTCTAGGGTTCCAAAATAACCTCCTTTGTCCCTAAGCTCAGTAAAACCCTAACCCTAGCCTCTCATTGTGATTCTTGAGATTTTGATTGAGTTTTGGTGGTTTGAAGAAGAAGAGATCACCATTGAAGCATTGTTTCAACTTGGAAGTTCAAATTGCAACCTCTAGCTACAAATGTGGACCAATATGAGTAACCAAGATCCAAGATTTATGTTTCCTTGTTGCTAGATCTAAGGTTTTATGCATATTTAACGATAACTTTAAGAGTTAGAGTGTTGGTACTCTATAAACATGGTAACTTTATGGGTCCTTAGGGTCTCTTGGTGCTTGCATGTTATGGATATGAGTTTTGGAGGATGTTTGAGTTCATGCATGAGAATTTATCTCCGTTTTCTTCATGAATGACTTAGTTTGAGATCAAGTCTTCTATTGGACATAAAAAACCTTAAAGCATCGATTTTTATGATCCTAGGAGTGTTAGGAAGCTTTTGGGAGAAGATGGATTCGTGACTTAATGGATTACAAAGTTTTTGGATCAAAATGACATTTAGCCTGCTCTCACGTCGTGAGGATTATATGACCCAATTATTTTGTCTTGTGGTGGCTCACGACGTGAACTATAGATGTCATGAGGCTTTATTAACTGTTGACTTTCGTTGACCGTTGAATTTTTGACAAAGTTTGACTTTAGGTTAAACTTGAGGATTGTAGGCTATTGATTAAGATTATATATGGTTCTGGTATTAGTGGATTTGTGGGTAACCAATGCTGAAAACAGATAGTATCATAATGTTTTAGAGTTCTTCAATTCAGGCAAGTTTTGCCGCATTGTACCCATGGGTTGAAGGCATGAATATCGGCCCACTAGTTTTGGTTATCATTAAGTAGAAAATGGCATAGGGACTGTATATAGTCATGTATGATAGACTGAGGATCTTGATGTAGGATTTCTTTCCTGTTCCTTTTTTCGTTGGGCTCTAGAGTAGGATCACATGTCCGAGTATCTCTCTCACCTCTAAGTGTATACGGTCATGTATTCCTTGGATTGTTGGTACTTATTATGTTACTATACTGTAGTAATCTATTAGATCTCTATCCTGGTATATAGGATGTTGCTATGTTGTAGATATCTGTTAGATTTGTTTTTTGGTATATAGGATGTTGCTATGCTAAAGTGATCTGTTATATCTATATCCTAGTACATAAGATGTTTCTATATTGTAGTGATCTGTTATATATGTATGTATATCTATACTTTCTGGTTATCATCTAGTGGAGTGCCCTAGGGACTGTAACTAGTCATGTAGTATGGCTTGAGAACTCTTCATCTAGACTTTCTTGCACATTCCTTGCTTGGTTGTCTCTCTAGAGTAGGATCATCGGTTCGGGTGGCTATCTCACCTCTAGTAACTTATGCTTTCGCATTTCATTGAGGTTGGCTAGTAGTGGGACATTGTACGGTGTGAGGCCTAGTAGGCGGTAGTAAGTTGTATGATTGTTGTTTCCTTGTATTATTTGCCTTCTTGATCCAGATTGTTTATATTTCGACATATGGTGGTAGTGGGTTGATACGGTCCTACTTTGTGTTGTAGACCAAGATACCCGGTGTAGGCTGGTTATAAGTCGTAGGCACGGAGGCTCGGGAGGAATGGTTAGGTTGAGGCAGAAGGCCAACAAACCCTGGGTATTCCAACTAGATGGTTGATTGGACCGTTGCATCTTGGCATTCCAGTCTAGGTTTGATTGGGCATGGGCATTCCAACCGAAAGGTTGTGGGCCATTATGCATGCTTTTATCTTTATCATATGAGGTATTTTGGGGGAAACTCACTAAGTTTTATGTTTATTTAGTTATTTTTGTTTCGGGTATCATTGATGGCTATGGGAAGGCGAAGGAGGGACTCTACACTCATGAACATCATTGAGGATTTCACATTCATTATAATACTCTGATTTTTCAATAATTGTAAACAAGAATATATGGTTTTCTTAAAATGGTTTTATAATTGGGAAGTTTTACTTTAAATAAAATGAAATTTTTGGTCATGAAAATGGGACGTTACACGATGTGTATCGGAAGATTGAGATCTGAAATGAAATCGAGTTCCCGATTTTGTCTGAATATATTCCAGAAAATGAAATTCAAAAAGACAGTCTGGTATAGGTCATTCTGAAGGATACTTGATGGGCCGGCCCATAAAAAAACGAGTCTGAATTTGTTTTCGAAACGACTCATTCCAGAGAAAATGGTTATTTTACAAAAATCAAATTAAATTTGTTGTTTTTAAAAAAATACACCAAAAAGTGGTTACATTACTCAATTTCTTTTCATTAAATCAACGACTTATCGTTAATATTTAGTTGTTATTGCTAATAGTTGGTTGTTATTTGTTATTGAAACTTGAAATCAAGTTTTTGATGAAATCATTTCATTATATTCCATTAGAAAATTTTTCAAAATAAAAAATGTTGTAGATAACGGTGTAGTTTATTTAATTAGAAACCTATGGTTAATAGTTAGTCACACACCTCCTCAACCTCCCTCTCCACCTACAAGACTGAAACAAGTTTTTTTGTGTTATTTCAATTATTGTTTATCTTCTTGAAAACTTGAAAAAAACTAGAAATTTGCCATTAGATTTGTTTGCTTAAGGTTAGCACTTAGTTATTGCTTGTTTTTGTTACTGAAATCAAGTTTCTTTGTTGAATCTTGAAATTAATTAGTGATACAAATAGAATTTAAAGTTTGTAGCTATTGTTAAATTGCAAAAAAACGAACCCGTATAACCCGAATCTAAAAAACCAAACCCATTTAGCTGGAGCCCGAAAAAAAAACGATCCACCAAACATTATTTTCACATTTGTGTCTTTATTTTTATGACCGGCTCCAAACACATAATATAAACAACCACATACATATTATATATGATGGGATACATAACAACATTTATTGGGATAACTGGTAGATTTGATTTTAATTGTTTTTTCGATTAAAAAATAAAACAGATAAATTTGTCTTTTTTTTTTGGAACTAGCGGAAAATATATTAAAACAACTCAGCCTAAGAAGAAACAAGGCAAGGCAAGCAAACAATAAAATCCAAAGTTTTACAAAACATCAAAAGTATAACACACCCATTTACACTCATTTATGTTTCACCCAATTAAAAACTACCGAACAAATATTATCTATCAGTTTGGGAATATTAGTTCTTACGTTATTAAATACCATATCATTTCCTGGCTTTCAAGTGCACCAAAGATAACCATAAAGAATAGCCAAGAGGCTTTTTCGTTTTTTGAAACAATTACCCTAGACCGCAGCGTACTCCAAGAGCTTTCTAACCGAATGAAACTGAGTAGGAGAGAGGTTACACCAAATTAGAATCTAATAAGAAGATGATCACCTTCATCACTCCCAGCATCGCAGAAACCACAATGAAAACTGTGGACCGAAATACCCCTTCTCGAAAGAGCTCCAAAAGAAAGAATTCTCTCCATAGAGGTGCGCCACACAAAACATTTTAATGAGGTCGATGTTTTAGAAACAGAAGCATGAAATCCAAATATAATATATTTTCATACAAAACATTTATTTGGTTTACCATAATATATTCCATACAAAACATTTATTTGGGTTACCATAATATATTCCATACAAAACATTTATTTGGTTTACCATAATATATTCCAATAATAATGATTAAACGCGGCTACGATTCAACTCATATTCTCTATAAAATAAAGAACAAAAACAAAGTGGTAATCATTATCGAACATGGGTGCCACCTTCATTTGCGCCTTAAATTCTCCAAATCCAACCACCATTTATATATTTTTTTTATTTAATTTTAATAACATACAATATAAGTCTACCATTTTGTACCAATTCACACAAAACCTTAAACAGAATCACATAATGTTCTTTCCAAAATTATCTCCTACAATTTTCTTGTTTTTCTTCCTTAATCTCCTCATCTCCACCTCCATCAATGCCATCAAAACACCAACCCCAACTCAATCTCAACTCAATGTCATCAAGCAATTCTTAACTTTTCAAAACAAGGCTCGGACCGCTCTCCGTATGCCGCCATTGGTGTGGGACTCAAAGCTTGCACGCTATGCAGACCTTTATGCCAGGCAAAGACGAAACGACTGTCTGTTGAAACATTCCAATGGACCTTACGGGGAGAATATATTTTGGGGTAGTGGTGATGGATGGACTCCTGCTCAAGCATCACTCGCATGGGTGGCGGAACAACGGTGGTATAGGTATGGCTCGAATTCTTGTGGTGGAGGAAAGGAATGTGGTCACTATACACAAATAGTGTGGAAAACTACCAAGAGGATTGGGTGTGCTAGAGTGACTTGCTTTGGGGGTAGAGGCGTTTTCATCACTTGCAATTATTTTCCTCCTGGTAACTTTATCGGTGAGAAGCCTTATTGATGTTTTAGCCATAATTTTGGTAGACAAAACACCAATAAGATATGTGAATTTTATTCTTCATATTTTTAGAAATATTCTAAAAAATCTATTATTTTATGAATAAACTGATAATAATTTTGAGTTTACACGATTCATTTTGTTTTACTATTAAATGTTTGTAAGGATATTTTTAAATCTATATCCAACATTTTAGTAATTATTAGTCAATTAAACATAATCATAATAGGCACTATATATTTCTAGTTTCTTTTACCTTTGATACGTATCTTAGGTTGTGAGTACTGAGTAATAGCAAGGCGCATGTTTCTGTCATGTAAAACTAACACATCGGGTCAAGTATACGGACTTAAATGAATGATAAACATGTGAAACGCATTTATCGTATAAAATAATACTAACTTTCATCATTTTAAGTGGTCCTTGCTTTCGTGTAAACTCTCTTTGTCCCTTGGTTTATCAAGTTAACCATCACGCTCCCTCGTGGTTTTAAATAGAAGAAATCGTATGTAGATTCGATTTTTCGGTTTTATTGGTTTTATGTTTTTATATTTTAAATTTAACTATAACTAAACCAAATAAGGCTTGGTTTAATCGGTTTCAATTTATTTAGTTATGTTTTATTCGGTTCTATTACCGGTTAAAACATATAAAATTATGCAGGTACAAGTAAATATTAAACCAAAATTAAAAATAGGGATAATGACTTAAAAAGGTAACGAAGTTTCAAAAGTGTACAAAAAAGACCATTGTTGTTTTTTTTGTACACAAAATATCATTTTACCGGCTATTGTAGGTTATCCGGTTTCCAAATGTTCAAAAAATACCATTGTTGTTTTTTTTAGTATAAAAAATATCATTAATGTTACTATTTGTACACAAAATACCAACAAAACACACATGTGTTCAACTAAAACATTGTGGTAACCAGGTACTTTAGGTAAATGGGATGACATGAGCGTAATCAGCAAGTGCTTGTTTAATTTTTGTTGAAATTGTTGGAAAAGATCTTACTTCCACCGTATGATCAGTCGAACAAGATTACAGGTGATGCTTTGGCTGATAAATTTTTCTTCAAATCGGTGATGAGAATAGCGTAATCAGCAAGTGCTTGTTCGGCTGTTAGATATGCTAAAGTAGAAGCATTCTTGTATGCCTCTTTCTGGCTTCCATATAGCATCGATTCACCATAATATCGATGCTAGATCAAATCACATAGCTTTTGATAAAATTGTATTATTAAAGGTCTGCAAGTGAACAAATTAATGTAGAGTAGAGTGATTAGGGCTTTTACTTCGGGGAAGATGACCATGGCACCAAAACGAGGGGCGAGGTCCCAAACAAAGTCGGTGTTGGCAGCGAACCATTCGATATCGCCTTCGTTGCCGCAATAAAGGAAGATTGGACCCAAACGACTAGGGCTTGGGCCCACCCAGTGATCGGAGTTGATGAGATAACGTTGTTGGAACTTGGGAAGATCATTGAAACTGAAATGATCAAGAGTCTGATCAAAGTATCATGTCTCGTAAGTGTACTTCGGCTGAACAAGAATTTTTGGGTTTTGAGAAGTCGTGGGGATTTACTGAGAAACGGAGGTGGCCGGTGAGATTCCCGCGTTGATGAAAGTAGGCAGATGATTAGGAGGAAGAATAAGAAAAAGGGTTTTGCCATGGTGGTGGAAGGTGGCGATGAACAACAGTAGTGGCCGAAGTGAAGTGGATGGTTCTTTATAAAAAGTAGCTAAATTTCCATTACATTCAAAGAAGGAAAAATTACTTAAAAAGGTAACGAAGTTTCAAAAATGTACAAAAAAGACCATTTTTTTTTTTTTTTTTTGTACACAAAATACCATTTTACCGGCTATTGTAGGTTACCCACAAGGTATTATTTGAACACATGTGTACTTTATTGGTATTGTGTGTATAAAAAATATACTTTAATGGTATTTTGAGTACTAAAAATAAAATAATGGTATTTTTTGTATATTTTTAAAACTTCATTACCTTTTTAAGTCATTATCCCTTAAAAATAACAATATAATGTTTACATTAAAAATAACTTCAATACTACATATTTATCAAATTCATAATATAATAATAAAATAAAAATTAATATATTAATAATTATATGTTAAAACTCATATTAAAATTTACTTTCATACTACACATATTAAATTAATAGCAGAATAATAACATAAAAATAATATTGTCATCTTCTCCATTTATATCATGGTTATATATATATATATATATATATATATATATATATATATATATATATATATATATATATATATATATATATATATATATATATATATATATATAAAATTCGGTTTAACCAAAACAATTAGATTTAACTAAAACTAACCAAATAAGGTATCTTTAATCGGTTAACCAAACTTAATTAGTCGAAAACCAATAACCTGAACCAAATAAACTAAACATAATTTTGTTCGACTTGATTATTCGGTTTAGGTTTTTTCACACCCCTATTCACAGTCTCTTTATATAACCAATTTTCTTTATTTATAAAAACTAAAATTATGATATCTTCTTAACGAGTAACTTATTTAAATTTAAAATACTTGCACTGTTAGGTATATGTAGAGAACAATTTGTTAGCATATTATTATAGACTAGTTTATAACCCGTGATTACTACGGTTAGAAAATTAATTAAACTTTCTAAGTAAAAACTCAAAACTATTAATTAATAATTTTAAATATCTTATTAATTAAAAGATATTTTTTAGTTATATATAAAATTATAATCACTGATTCAAATAAATACGTAAAATATATCATTTTATAATTTATATAAATTTTATTTTATTATATTTGGTATAAATTTTATTTTATTGTTATTCTAATATTATTAATTTAATGTAATTAAAATGTTATTTAAATTTTGAAATTTGAAATTTGAAATTGAGAATTAATATATTGACAAGTAGCATGATATTAATTATAAGTGTCTGACAAGTGTAATGATATTAATTAAAATGCCTAACATGGTGACACATGGCAAAAGAACTACTCTTCCTTCCTAATAAATGAAAATAATTTTGCCACATGTCACTCTCTTATTAATTTGGACACATGTTATTTTTTGGTATTTTAATTAAATGTTTTTTCCATTTGTCATTTTTTTATATTTTTATTTTTTCTTAATTAATATTAATATATTATATTTAAACCTCAATTAATAATTACTATAATTGAAAATAACCAATAAATTATAATATTAGTACTCATATAGTATTTAATATGTTTCCTTTTAATTCAAATTTAAAAATTTTAAATTTAAAACCTAAAATTTTTAAGTTAAATAAAGTTTTTGTTTAAACTTTTATATTTAATTTTTGTTTATCAAACCCGTATAACATACGGGTCTTACACCTAGTTTATTAGTATATGGATTAATGTTATAGAAAACCTTATATATTGTATTTTTTCTAGGTTAAACATCAATATTTTTTTCTAGGTTAAACATCAACATTTTTTTATGAAAAAGACCTTATATATTTTCATTTTTTACAATTTGGCCATTTTAATTAGGAGTGTTATTCAGTTGGTTTTTTTGGTTTTTGGTTTATACGGTTCGGTGTTATTTGTTTTTTTACATCTTAAAACAAACCATAACCAAAACCAAACAAATTTCAGTTAATCGGTTTTGATTAATTCGGATACAATTTTTTTGGTTCGGTTTGCCGGTTAAGCCAATTAAAATTTCCCATGTAACAATAAATACCAAAGTATAATAATAAAATTTTTGCTAAAGTTTTACCAAATGAAAAAATATATATATTAATACATAACATATTATATTCATTTTTTAATGATATATTTGCTTTAGGTATTAATGTAGCCACACAAGTTATAGATACATATTAATATAACTTTATTCATATACGAAGATGAAATAAATGTCCAAATGTTAATTGAGATTTGGCTAATTATTTGTTTCTTTTTAATACAAAATATAAACAATTATAGATTTATAATAGTTAATAATTAACTAATGAGTTATGTACTGGGCCGATCCATTGGTCCATGATGCCCTGGGCAAGTCTAATATTAACGCCCATTTTTTGTGTCGTCAAATACACAATACACAAACAACAAAAATTTATAAAACAAAAGTTTTCGTAAAATTTTTTAATAAACCAAAAATCATGTAAAATGTTGCAAAAATCGTCTAAACAGTTCATACATTTTTGAAGCAAATATATCAATTACTTTATGATTTCCAATAATAAATAAAACCAAAATTCGATAATAAACATTTCTAAATCAATGATAACACCCACTCATAGATCGGAATGATGAACATCTCTAGTTTTAGGTTCACATTAGATCTGCTATCCAATCTTGCTTCATGTTTTAACTTGCTTCATGTTTAGCTGACTTCACTTTGTTTGCTAAATTTAAATTAAAATCAATGTACATAAGCAATTAAATATAAATATTATGAAAAGAGGCATATGACTAATTGACAACATCTTTAGACATTATTTGACTCCATTGATGATCAACTATGTGTTTCCTGTTAGCAGCATTGTCCTTCCTTTAGAACTGATTTTCTTGTTTCTTTTCTTAAGCACATTCTTCATTCTCTTTTTGTTTCTTCAAAAGATGCTCAGGATCCAATTGTCCTGCATTATTTACTTCAACCATATCTTCACACTACAATAAGCTTATAAATTTATAGGAAATGTAATTACCTATATTGCTTCATTAGACATATTAATATAAGAATAATGAAAATTTGAGAAAAATTTGGCATAAATTTTTAAAGGCTTCAAAGAAGTTCAAACCAAACTATTTGAAGCCATACAAAACAAACTTTGGAAGCAAAATAGCTATTCATTCAATATGAAAACGACATAAATCCTAACACCAAACACAACAAATATTCATGCAGTGTTCTCTCAACCTAAAAAACATAACTGCACCTCGAGTTCTAAGAACAATGGAAAAACAATAGAGATAGGAATCGAAA